CATCGAGCCCAACGATGTCAAAGTTGGGGAGGAACCTGCTGCTGACGGCAGCGGCAGGGCTACACCTCACCGTCAAGAGCGGTGACGTGACGTCTGCCTTCTTGCAGACTGGCACGAACCTGGAGTCCGAGGAGCTGAACGTCCTCGCACCGCCGGAGCTTGCAGCTCTCTTCGGTGCCAAGCCTGGTGACCTCCGAGCCCTTCGAGTTCGAGAAGCCTTCTATGGGCTAGCTCAAGCACCCCGCAAGTGGTATGAGCGATGTGTGGAGGTGATGACCGCTTCTGGGTGGACTCAGCTGAAAGGCGATAAATGCCTCTTTTCGCTCTTTGAGGCTGGAGAGAATGGCGACAAGAAGATTGCCGGCCTGGCTGGACTGCATGTGGATGACTTTCTACTAGCAGGTGATTTGCAGTCCGACTACTACAAGAGCCGTGAGGAGATCCTGGCCAAGTCGTTCCGATGGGGAAAATGGGAGGAGGAAGCCTTCGAGTTCGCCGGTTGTTCACTCCGGCAGGGCAAAGACATGAGCATCGTCCTCAACCAAGAGGCTTACTCGCTCAAGTGGCTTGAGGAGATCAACATTGACAAGAACAAAGCCCGAAAGACCTCCCTGAATCCTCAGGAGATCTCTCAGTTGAGAGGAGCTGGTTCGCGAGATGCGGCGCGATGCTGGGCAGGGTTTGTTGTTCCCGTCCTCCTGGAATGTGAAGAAGGTGGAGGACCTGGCCGTGGTGACATGGGCTGACGCCTCACAACACAACAGGCCGGATCGATCCAGCACTGTTGGCATCATCAGCGGCATTGCTCCGCGAGAGATCCTTGAAGGCCATGAAGTCCAAGTGGCGGTGGTTCAATGGAAGAGTGGCAAAACGCCACGCCAATGCCTTGGAAGCAACGGCGCTGAGGTGCAGTCGATCACCATCGGAGAAGACCAGAACTACCAGATTCGACTTCTCCTGGCAGAGCTTGGGGGCATCGAGTTGAAGAGAGATGAATTGCACCTGGCGGTGCAATCGGTGCCCGGCGCCTTGGTGATGGACTCGAGAGGCATCTACGATGCGATGACCAGGAACCTGTCCGCACTACACGGGCTGAGGGACAGCAGAGCGGGCTACGAGCTGACGCTCGCGGTGGCACAGGCCGTGAAGGCCAAGACTCAGCTCCGATGGGTCGGAGGCCATGCGCAGCTTGGCGATGCGCTCACCAAGCAAGGAGCGCGGAAGATGCTGCTTCAGTTCTTTTCAGAACGCCAGAAATGGCGATTGGTGCACGACCCAAAGTTTGAAGCGGGCAGAAAGGTCCACAAGAGGATCCTCGAGCAAAAGATCCGAGAGATGAAGGCCAACGAAGTGGCATTCATTTCGACCTTGAAGAAGCTGGCCAACAAGTTTAACTGGCCGTGGGATGCCGAGGAGCCTCCGGCGCGCTATGATCCCTACACCTGACCTGAAAAAGGGTCAGGAAGTGTATGGGATGCAAGCATGAGGTTCCATGGACACATGTTTGACCCTTTTTCACTGCCCATAGGGTGGGCTCGAGAGCCGTGCGGGAAAACCGCGCGTAGCGCGCCTCGGTCCGTGGTCGGACCCCTTTTGTCCTTGTGGTAGGACCGCTTTCACGAAGAGAATAATAAAGCAGTATGCAATGAGTCATGAGTGCAATTGAGTGCATATAAGAAACCAATATATATATATATATTTATTTATATCAATATATTTTCTAATGCCAAGCGCGTGCTTTTGGCCCTCTTAATTAACTCCCTGAGTTTAAGGCGGCAGAGATTGAAACTCGAGCCCTTGAGCTTGCGGCAGAAGTCGTGTGTATATATATATATAAGTTCGCTGTGTTCCTGGCGACGGACGTATTGAACGATTGAACGGCGGAGCGTTGAACGGAGGCCCAATCTGGCCAAGGGCTGTGCGCAGCCACAAAGACTGGCGGGAAGCGAGTGATCGCGCTGGAACGATCTGCAATCATACTTGGCCGGTGGTCATGGCCAGCGCTTCATGGTCGTTCTTTTGGACACAGACAATAGTCGCGAACGGATGAAATTTATCACCTTTCGCCGGGTCATCTATGTTGATGGCCGCTGGAGCCACTCACACCTCCTGTACATTGAGGTCCAGTACAAGCAGCTGCATGTCGAGCCTTGCGGCCACGCAATACAAGGCTATCAGGACCGCTGACGATGTGGTAATGTGGAAGCCAAAATCATACAGCAGCAACGTTGCCGCCTTGACGAGGGCCACCAAATTGACCTGTTTGAAGTGGCCTTGCGCAGACAGCGCCTGGCTGTCCATGGATGCCCACGATGGGCCAGAGACATCTTTGCGCCGCACCTTAGACCCTGTGGGGGGCTCACCCTACCGTGTCTACGAGCTCCTCACGGTGTCTCAGTCTGCTGTGGCGTGCCTTTCATACATGTACGCTGTTCAGGTGGGTGTTCTGCTACCTGCTATTCTGGGAGAGTGCCTATGTTTATAAAAAATAATTACATACAACTTATACCTCATAACTCAAATATTTCCTTTGTTAGAGGGAATTGATGAAAAGGAAAAGGAAAGGAAAACGGAAAAGGAGGAAAAGGGAAAAGGACAAGGCAAAGGATTAAACAGCAACGAAAGGAAGAACACGAAAAAGGGCACAGGAAAAGGATGAACGTGCGAAAAGGTAAGCGAAAGTTGACAAGGAGAAAAGGAGAAGGAAGAAAAGGACATGAAAACAAGGAAAAGGAGCCAGGCCGAGCCAAGCTACTATTGACGGCATGAAAATCCCCTGCTACGTCGTCGCGGCTGGAACGGGGTGTCCGACAAAGACTTAAGACTCGATTAAGACCAAATAAGGACGTTGAACATTGTGGCAGAAAACACATTAGCCCCCTGCAACACTTCAGCGCAAAGCGATTATTCATCAAAATCGGCTTCTCAGTGGACCGCAGGCTTCAGGAGCTGCTTGCTGTTATCTTCGAACTGCTGCCGCCAAAACTGCCGGATTGCGCATTGTCAGCCTGTCAAGTTGGCAGTGGTTTGTCATGAGCCGGGAGGCAATCATGTGCAGGTGGAACACATTGATGCGCTCCGACACCCTATCCTTGAAATTTGCACGGATTTTGGGACTCCGTGTGGTGTTGTTGAAATATGTGCAATCCTTGCCGTTCCACTGTGGTAAATGGATTGAAAAATTTCCAACCCTTTTCCGGCCCATGCTTGAAGCAAGAATGTTGCCCTGAAACGTCCTGGACTTGGCTGGACTGTGCCATGTTCAAAGCAACGGCCATGCCACCAGCGTCCGTAGATTTATTTAATCAATTTTGCTTCTTTAATTCTTTGGTCATGTTTCCTGGTGTTGGGGGCAAAACCTTGCCAGGCCAGCCGCCATGTGCGCCAGCAAGATTTTCCCCATTTGCGCCCCGATACCGGGCGCGTCTTGTTTGCGCAGAGGGATCTAGGGTCTGAGCTGGCAAAGTCCGCTGAGCTGGCTTGCTGCTGGCTTGCCCTTTGCCCAGGTTAACCTATCAAGCAAGCAAACGATGTGCTCTACTTGCCAACGCCCGACTGCAGCCCAAGCATTTTACGCAAGACAACACAACGGACCAATGTACCAATTGGCCACTTTAGTTGATGACATGTCCTTGGAAAGAACTTGTAGCTCCAGGGTAGACCATGAAGATGTCCTGACGCCAATTCAACAGACCAGCATCCATCCGCCGGACACTTGGGTTTGAAAAACTCCGGGTCGTGGCATGGGCACGACCCCGCCCAATCGCTCACTTGTCTTCTCGATTACAGGGCGACTAGCAAGGACAGGAATTGCAGTTCAACTGAACATGGCCCCATTCTTAGCCCCCGTTTTGTTGATTCAACTCAACAACTTCTTTGGACAAACAAACTAAGCACACTAGGCATACCAGCAATTCCAAGAACACACTTGATGGTACTGCTTTGTTGACTAGGCCAAGCAGCAACACACGAGCCACCAATAGCCAACCAATGGTGCGGAAGCAACGTCCTTAGCGTTCCCAGTGGGAGTGGAGTCTCATGTCCACCAGTAGGGTTTTGGTGTCACCACCAGTGACTAGGGGATTTGGAGCTGCTTTTGTATTGCTCTTGCTCTAACGGGCAAACCGTCAATCAGCGCATGGCAGCCACGGTGAAAGGGCGAAAGCGAAAAAAGAAACAGCTGTGATTTTGGTGTGCAGCGCCGTGCAGCGTGGCAATGTGTTTTAAGTCTGTCTCACACCCACTCATACCTTGTCCAAGCCTTTTCCTTGTGCTGGGCCTTGCCTGCTATGAAAGTTTAGATGTAGCGCATTGGCCCAAAGCTTTTACTTCCAAACCATGCTGCTGACAAAGTTGACAAGAAAGGAAGAAATTTTGCAGATACTGGAGCGCCTGAAGCACGAAAAGCTTTGCTTGAGCTGCTGATTGGGTGTGATCACCTCCTATCTTTTTGAGTTCTCTTTTTGCATATTTTGAAGTTTGAACGCTGAACATGTTCTGTTATTGTGTTCCTTTTTGTTTTGCACTTTTGGAAGAAGCCGTCTAGCTTGGTTGAGGAATGAACAGCACAGCGAAGCCTATGCAATTTGTCGTGATTGCCAACGTGTCCTTTGACTCCATGAAGTCGAAGAGAACATGGCTGAACATTGCGACAGTACATTATAGTTGGCAAAAGGGGCCCCTAAGAGGGCAAAAAACACTCCAAGTTGGACCGATATCAGGGCACAGAAAAAGAGAACACTGTTTTTGCGCTTGTGTCCTTTTGCTTTTTCTGGTTCAAGGTTGAGGGTTGATTCAGTATCAAAATTATTGAACACCACCTGAATTAACCTATTCGGGAAGTTTAGCATGTGCACTCACTTTCATTAACTTGGCGCTCCAGCCGCCAGCCACGCCATGATCAACCGTGGGTTGCCTGGTGTGAAGCAAGTTCAAAATTCCAATTGTTTTTTTTGCTGGGGGGGGGTCAGTGGACGACGCTTTCCTTTGCGTGCCGGAAGGCCTACATGTACCTGCTGGACACGGTGACCGTCGGTGTGGGCTTTCCCGAAAAGTTCGAGAACTTCTCGACGGTGAGAGGGTTTTTTCCACCGCTGCGGCCGGGGGTAAACACCACGAGTGATGGGACGCGGTGTTGGGGAGAAACGTAGGTGGTCGTGGGAGATATTTGTGGTTGCAACTTTGAAAGAAACCACAGCAGCATGCAACAGGTAGGGCCGGAAAGTTTCAAGCGCAGTCATGCCCCAGCACGGTTTCAGCCTTGCAAGGTTTTGGCTGATTACTAGGGTGGACCCATTGATCCCTTAAGCCACCCCAATGTTGGTAGATCTGACATCTTTGGAGTGTTTGGGTTCTGTCATTTTTTGGGGTAGCGGTGGAGTTTGCGCCTGCTGTGAGGTGCATCGTGTGGGCTATCATGAGTACCGCGCGTCTCCCTTCCCGTGACTCGACTCAAAACGTGAAGGGCCGAAGTGAAGGGTGGGCATCAGGTGTTGGGTGGGGTGTGCTGGTTTTTGCCCTTGTAAATGAATGTGGGTCAAAGTCAGGATACCTTGGTTGACCTGCAAGTACCTGGGAGGTCAAGCTACATGGTGTTACGGTTCCAGGTTTTGACCCATCACCAAATGTTTGTCCTCAACTCAGGGCAATCCAAGCCCCAGAAGGATACGCGAAGAAACCAATTAGAAACCAACAGCCGTGTTGCTGCTTGGCCGCGCTGGTCGTTTGGCCATGTTTGGCCGAACCTGGTTTTTAGTTTTCCACTCTTTTGTTGTGCTTTGGGCCAAGCGCAGATCACTCCCGTCCCTTATATTGAGGAAATGACCCCATTAACGGAGCGGTGCTCCTCCAAGAAGCAGCGCCATGCGGGGCTTTACCGCCGGGCGTTGCGGCGGAACACCCGAGGGGGTTCCCTGCGGGTTAACCCGGGGAAGCGGCCGACCGAAGGTCTTCGAACATTTGCCTCTTTGGACATGGCGTGGTCGAAAGTACCTCGACGAGGTGACTGGAGGAGTGACGAAGGGGGACGCCAGGTGAGGAGTGCGGACGAAGGTGGATGTGTTGCATACTCTCTGAAATCCAGCAACTTTCCAATTTAGTTATTAGTGGCCCCTGCTTGTAAGTAAGTAGATAAACTACAGTTATCGTAAATCACTGAATCACTTTACTTGAGCGTTTTGAGCTGGCTTTGATGACTGGAAATACCGTACCAGTGAGTGCTGCCTTTTTCTCAGGAGAGTTTCAGCGGTCGCCGCTAATGAATCAGTGAACAGGCACGTCATGGCACATCTCAATCTTGGTGCGCAGCTTCCAACCAGCGCGCATCCCAAATCCAACGTAGACCACCAACCAAGCACTGGTATGGCGGCACTGGTATGGCGGCCAACCTACAGTATCTTGCACATGTTTGCCATGGCGTTTGATTTTCTTCGGTCGTAGTGGGACCCCCTTTGTTCTTTCGAACCGCTTGACACACTAAAAACCACTCACCGCGACCGGCACGACTCGCCCTGAGGCTATCGGAGCAATTTCGACACGGCACTTGCGAAGCAGGACGCTCGCTCTTTGGAGGTTTAGTGATTGTTTAAGCCATTTCGATCGAAAAAACGAAGGATTCTGCAATGTACACCAAACATCACCAAACACATGTTGTGGGAACCTGGAATTTTCCTTCTCAGAGTGTCCATTGCCGTGTTCCAAGCTTTGATGCGGCTCCAAGCCCACATGCCTTTGCAGACCTTGGTTGGACGAGCAGCCGCTAAACTCATGCCATCCCAAATCCCAACCACTGGCCTCCACAGACCGCGCCGCTTCACCGCCTTCGCTGGGTCTAGTCGTTGCTGCGCTTTCACCCGCCCAACGGCGCGGATCTCCGTGGAGCGTCCACCATGAGGACGGGCTTTGGTTCGAGAGCGGCCACGCCCCGCGCGGCGTCCGGCAATTGGACAAGTTCGCGCGCACGATCTCGCCGCTGAAGGCGCGGAAAGACGGGCGGTGAGATGCGAGCGTGATGCTTGGAAGCGCGAGAAGGCTGCTTTGGGGCCTCACCTGTGGGGTAAAGCTCCTGAGCTTGATCCAAAGGGTGGCCTTTGGATGGAACATGGGATCGGCTTCCGGAAGCTCTTTGTAATTATTGGTTTTTACAGATGTTATGTAGGTACCTTGGCTATCCTTGGCCCTTGCAAACCCCCGCTTGCATCCATGTCTCGCGTACTAGGGAGGCAGGTTACTTTCTTTTTACATTTACCTTATTCAATTACATACGACTACTTCCCGCCCTAGGGAGGGAATATCGTCTCCAATGGAGTGTTCCTTTGACACCCCTCTCAATTGCGGGCCCAACACGACGGAAGGTGATGCTGAAAAATCAGAGAGACAAAGGGAGACTTACTTGGATGTTCAATCCTCTTTGGAAGAGCAATAACATCTGAATCCTGATGAATCAACCGGCCTCTCATTTGGATTTTACCTCTTCATATATCTGCATGATGGGGTCTGAAAGATCAAGACTTTGTCCAGTCACGGACTTGGGGCCCGGACTCCCCGTCGGTCCTTCCGTTTCGGCGTCCAGTCTGCTCCAGGCGCGAGAGGAGCACGGGGATCCGCTGGATGTCTACGGCACGGGCTTTCCGCGTCGCGTCTTCTGGTATCCTGACCTCGACCCTTGGCGCCAACCTGGCTCGCGCGACCGTGTGGGGGGGAGAGGCCGGTGGATTGCTCGGACCGGTGGCTACATGTTGGCGACTCTCTGGGCCGATGATGGATGGTACTCTGCTGGAACGTGAGCAGGAATCCTGTTTGTGTTAGTGACGTGATTTCTATTATAAGTGAAACATCTCTTCTTGCGCGTGGCCGCGGCGCTTGCTTTCTCCACCGCTCCCGATTTCCCTTTCATCCGGACCGCTCCCGTTCCTTCTTGAAATCGCCTCGCGTCCTCGCCGCCCACGTCCTTGTGGTCGGGGAGTGAGGATCTGTACAAGTACATCTTCTGGAAAGGCCATGGCGATCTCACAGGCCACGGATTTGCTGCGTTCTTCGGTCGGATCTCGGGGTTCTTCCGGTCGGACTCGGACTCGGAGCGGACGGATTTTCAACAGGCTCCTGTGGTTTCGTATCGCTGTGTGAGACGATCGATGTATGTGAGGCTTGATTTGCATCATTTGCATTGCACTGATATGGAGAATCCGTGAGAATCCCTCATGTTGTTGATGGAGGAGGGAAATGGATCATCCTAACATCAACAATCGTATTGCAACAATGACACTGCATCAGGTCAAATCCAGATGGATGGGTTGAATATTTTGGGATGGCTCGACAATCCACATCGCTTTTAATTTATGCGAACATCACTGAACATACACTATATAATACTATATTTATATATAGTATATGATTGTCTCAGGTCTGGCAGGCTTAGGGTGGACAGTGGTCATTCCTCAGAGTGATTAGAACCTGATACCATTTTGGTTCAAGTGTGATCCAAATTGGCAGGTTCTTCTTCTTTGAGTTCAGGAGTGACCTGACGGAAGACTTAATGCCAGAGCGGGTCAGGGAAGGGATCGATGTTGCCCTTTTTACGGACCTCCAGGTACTCACTCCCGCGGCTGGACTTCTCCTCGCACATCCAGTCCATGCTCGACGCTGGGAGGCGGGAAGCGGCTTTGGTGCTCTGGGAGTCCGTGGTGGAGATCTTTCATGTGGGGTCCCCTTCCGGAGAGGTACTCCAGACCCCGCACATGCCTCCTATCCCCTGCACCCGGTGCGAGCGACGCCTGGAGTTGGATTGCAGCACCAAGTCACGTGCCCAGGGACCCAACATTCGAGACTGCTCCAGCGCCATGCTGAAGGGCAGCAGGCAGGCGCTCTGAGCCACAAAGCTGCCCTGCCGCCACTCCTGAGTTTTGGGTTGTCCGTCGACGAACACTTCGCACAGGCACCCACCCTCGGATGCAAGCCCGAACCTCGAAGTGCAAATTTTGTGGCAGGCGCAGCGCTTTGTGAACATCGAAGTGCAGATTTCGTGGCAGGCACAGCACTTTGTGAACCTCGAAGTGCAGATTTCGTGGCAGGCGCAGCGCTTTGTGAACATCGAAGTGCGGATTTCGTGGGAGGCGCAGCGCTTTGTGCTCTCAGATGCTCACCTCTCGCTCTCACTCACGCGCACACTCACACTGACACTCACACCCACACTCACACAACGCACACTCACACTCGCTCACTCTCTCACTATGACTCTCACCCTCACTCTCACTCACTGTCACTCTCACTCACTCTCACTCACGCTCACACTCACAGTCACACTCACCACCATCGCCGCTGTCACCACGGTCTCCAAATTCATCACCGCCATCACCCCTCTGGACCCCAACATTCTGCCTGTAGATCTCACACACACACACACTGTTTGGGGTCTCGTGCCGGAATATTTTTTTGGTTTGAGCTTCACATATGTTGGCCGTAGTTTCCAAACCATTGTTTTTGGCTTATTTTGGTTTGATAGGTAATTTTACAAACGCACCACTGTCGTTTGCCTATCATCACGAAAGCCAGCCGATGGGCTAGGCTGAAGTTGGCGTGCGAAGTGAGTGCTAGGGGGTGTGGGGAGGTGGTCGTACAGAGAGCAATTTCGGACGGTGAGCCCAGAGTCTGGTGGGGGAGAGCGAAAAAAGGCGCATCAATTCGGGAGTGAACGCGCGTAGTTTTTGGGGTGTTGTGATGCAAGTTTGACGGCGAAGAGTGCATCATAGCATTATGAGGGGTTCAGGAGGCAATTAAAGCAGTCTTCCACCAGGGGTGGGAGTTCATGTCGATGATAGGAACGAGGGAACAACGGGCACGAAAAGTGGCTCCTTCCGGAAAGGGAGATGTGCGTCTCTGGACAATGGTCTTCGACCGGGGTGAAAGGGAGGTGTGCGTTTGTGAGGGCAGGGCAGGGAGCAGAATGCAGTGGGTAATAGAATGCGGTGGGCCAATTTTGAGTTGCTTGGGGATACCCCTTTTAATGGTGAAGAGGCATAGTAGCCAGACCCTTTTGCGCTCCATATGGGATGGGAGTTCATGTGGAAGATGTGGACGATAGGTATAGCGGGTGGTGCTTTTTGTCCGATGTGATACGTTTATTTGATCTTGGGTCTAAGTAATTTTAAAGGTGTTCTTTTTCTTTTTTAAAACGTTTTCCTATATTCATAGGAATAGAAATCCTTGCTTTCTTATTTCGTATTGAAGACTTATTATGTCCGTCGCGTCTAGCCTTTTTTTGCGCACTTATTTTAGGTAATTGATTGGTTGTCGGTTTTGTTTTCGTATCCATTTTAGGGTTGTAATATATAAATTTTAAATTCATAATGGATTATTTTTATTGATTTATATAAAATATTTAAAATATATAATTGAAAATTTATTTAAATTTAAATATAGAATTATATATATTTAATATATAAATAATTGAATATATTTTATTTAATAATATTTAATAATACTAAATATTTTAAATATATTATTTATTTATATAATGATTTTAATATATAAAATATATAAAAACGAAAACGATGAATTTAATTGAATTTATGATATATATTTATTATATTAATATCGAAATCTTTATTGAAAAAATTAACATAAAATGATTTTTATTTTTATATTTTGTAATAAATGAATTTATATATATTTTTTTAATACTATTAAGAAAATTTATGAAATATTTCGATATAATATTGAAATAATATTTTTTTAAAATATATTATATATTAGGATTATTTGTATTTTTTTAATATAATGATTATTTTGTTTTTTAAAATTAATTTCGATATATGGATTTATGAGAGGTATTTTTTAAAATATATATGTTTTTAATATATATATTTACTTATTATTGTTAAAAAATATTTATTTGTAAATCGGTATTGGATGTATTAATATATATTTTAAATATTTATGTATTTTATTTATGAATTTTAAATTGCATATTTTTTCTATAAATATTGAACATATTAAATAAATATATTATATATATTATTTTAAATATTGAATATATTAAATAAATATATTATATATATTAATTTAAATATTGATTTTTTTAAAACATTTGAAATGGTAATTAATTCTAAGCAACAAAATAAACAAAAATTCGCCGACCCTAGCTTAGCCGTAGCCTAGATGGGAGGCGCCACCGCAGGTGCAACTTTGTGGGCTTTAGCACAGGCCACAGCTAGCCTTTCTAAGGCCACGCAGCCTAGGCATGGCCTGGATCATTACGTACGGTGTTAGTAGCCGAGGCTAGTCTCTTCTTTTCTAGGCTCCCGAAGGCGACGGTCCCCCTCAAACGCCTTTCGGCGCTTCGCAGGGTGCAACCTTAACACTGGCATCTCCACCTTTGTGGGCTTTAGCACAGGCCACAGCTAGCCTGTCCGAGGCTACGCAGCCTAGGCATGGCCTGGGCTGCCACGTACGGTGCTAGCAGCCGAGGCCAGCCTCTTCTTTTCTAGGCTTCCGAAGGCGACGGCCCCCCCGCAAACGCTTCTCGGCGCCTCGCAGGGTGCAACCTTGGCATTGGCATCTCCACCTTTGTGGGCTTTAGCACAAGCCACAGCTAGTCTTTCCGAGGCCACGCACCCTATAGGCATGGCCTTGGCTGCCACGTACGGTGCTAGCAGCCGAGGCCAGCCTCTTCTTTTCTAGGCTTCCGAAGGCGACGGCCCCCCCTCAAACACTTCTCGGCGCCTCGCAGGGTGCAACCTTGGCATTGAGGGATTCTAACTGCCACCGTACCAACACCGGACCAGCGACCGTTCGTAAGAAGCAATGATGTCAGCACCTGGGCTGCATCACCGCAAGCCTCCCCTGGTCAGCTCTGAGCTGCCAGGCAAGGCCCTCACAAACGGTCGCCGATCCGCGTGCGTTGTCCTTTGTTGGCCAGATGGCCATTGGAATCCCTAAAGTCCACATTCATCAAGTCCTGTCCAAACCACTGCCCCTGCAATACCCCAGCCCACCACGACCGTGCATAGTACTTGCACTCCCTAGCTTCAGCCTCCTAAGGCCAGAACGTCCATCTTCTTTCCACAGACGGGCAACCACCGGAACTACACAAACGCCTTCAGTACATGCTACACTTCTCCTGAAGAGGGGTCGGCGGCACCCGGCGAAGCCCTTACAATTATATCAACAAATGAATTATATTTATTATAATGCAAGGGGTGTTATTCCCAATAGAATTTTTAATTTCCTCCTTATGATGAAATGCACTTATTATATAATTAGGATTCCAAATTACGAAAGAATTGATTCTTTAGAAGCCACCTGTGCCTTGATAATTTAATTATCGACGCGAATGAACGTAGGATAGAGGCACTTACGTTGCCCATCATATCCTGGCTTGCATATTCCTATAGGTAGAACATTACAGGCTTTGCATCATACAAATGGATATCCTTTCATTCAAAAAATTCTCAAGACTTAATTTAAGCTATACGATAATTCAACCCTTATCTGGCTCATACGAAAATGCCACTTCTGATTTGACAGACCCTTCGCGAGGACGTCTCCTCGTTGCAACGAAATATCTATGGAATTGATATCGATGTCTTCTGAATTATTGACCACTTCATAAGTTGATGCAACATTGATTCGATGCGTCTTAGCAAGGTGACGAAGCTTAGCATAGTAGTCTATTGCAATTATGATAATTTCAATGGAATTAATTCAAAATAATAAAATCTGATTGATGGAATTAATATTTGCCAATATTTGCCAATATTATATTTAATCGTAGACCGTGATATACACTTTGTGTTTTACTTCCCCAACTTAGCAAAGCGAAATTTGATGAATTAATTCAATTCAATATATAATCTGACGTAGATCTTCTACTTTGAATATCTCCTGCAAAATCTGCGTCATAGAATAATATAATGCTTAATATTTCTGGAGGATCTTGAATTGACATAATGTGTTCATATGCATACATGAACTGCAAATAATTTATTAATGCAATTGTTCTCTGGTCGCCGTCAATAAACCATGTAATAATATGCTTTTCCAGAAGATAAATGATGAATATGATTAGAATAGCGGCATGAGGTGCAAGTTGATCACGGGGTTCATCATCTGATGCAATGAGTGAGGCTTCATCCAACAAGGAGATATAAATAATTCTTGATTGATGTGTTCGCCAAATCGCTGGAGAATTGGACACGTTGTTGAGCAAAATCCGACGATTCTATAGCGAGAATTTTCTTGCCATCCATCTGAATAAGGCGATGATTCCTATTTAACATCCTACCGAATTTAATTGGAGGATCAAGGATAACATATTCATTTTGTTAATGCAAAAATTTACCATGCTTTGAGGCTACCCCTATCAAAATCACATTATATATATATATTGATATGATCAAGGTTTGGCCAAAATGGAATACAAATTACATGTCCCGCAATTCTATTCCATTTAATTGCTTTTTTTCGGAGAATCTTTGACAAATGAATTTGCCAATGGGCAGAAGATTCAGGATATCCAGAATCCATACAGACTCTTATAGATATATATATATATAACTAATGAATATATTTCTTTGACGGCGAAATGATTCAGGAGACAATATGTTTTCGGATGCATTTTGAAGTAGAATCAATAATGAGAAGATAATATTGCAATTGAATTTGGAGCGGATTCTATAAAATCTTGAAAGATGGCATATTCTCTTCTTTAAACCATGAACGCTTGAGCAACAGACCGTTCTTTTCATTGCCGATTGCTTCGAAGATTTCTGGACGACCTTTCCACTCTTCCTTGTCAAATAACCTGTGCACGAAAGCGGGCGTGAACAATTCCTTGAGATCGCTTTCAATCATCATGACATCAATGGGAATGCATGGCATGCCTTGTTACAATTTTTTGATGGCGCTTATGCTTCTTACGAC